CAGGAAAGTAATTTCCTTGCATTTCCTTCTTTTTTTCCTCTGCCACATGTCATCAATACATGGTGGCTTATTTTCGTAACAAAAGTGAATCTATTGTCGATGCAGCATGTAGGTAGAGGCAACCAAGATAAAAACATTTCATCTTACACATGCAGGTGCTGATTTGTGGAGTCCTTGGCGCTCTCTGAGCTTGGTTGTTTGCTTGCAGACATTTCATCAGCACCCTGATGATATTACCTAGTTGCGCAATGAAACGTCTACAAGCAAACAACCAAGCTCAGAGAGCGCCAAGGACTCCACAAATCAGCACCTGCATGTGTAAGATGAAATGTTTTTATCTTGGTTGCCTCTACCTACATGCTGCATCGACAATAGATTCACTTTTGTTACGAAAATAAGCCACCATGTATTGATGACATGTGGCAGAGGAAAAAAAGAAGGAAATGCAAGGAAATTACTTTCCTGTAGCTTTGTGGAATGAATGCACACTTATTTCCAAATATGTCCCCATATATCTCTGAACATTTTGTTTTACCAGATGTAATCTAGAGTCAGATGAAAAATGGCTCCAGCTTTTAAATATTAATTCAGCGGAAGTTGATAATATGCTTTCTCCCTCAAGGACTGAGCCCTTCTAGTGGCAGAGAAGCCATGACTGAGAAAATAACTGGGATATGGACCACTTATAGGTGATCCTGAAGGCATCTTCCCATGATGAGGTATTCATCAGGGTGGGCCAACTGAGAATGGGCCTTTTCATTGGTGCCCCTACCCAAATCTCCTCACTATGTATTTATTACGTTTTTTGATAATAGGAAAATATGCTTTTATTTTCTCCAGCCTTTTTAATGCTAATTCTCTAGTCACACTCCAGTGGAGCTTTTTAATTGATCTGGTTTCTTCTGTTTTTGTTAGCTACTGGCTGTTTTAATTATTTAACATATTGTTTCAGTAGATGTGTTGTGCATTTGTTAGCTGTTTGGGGGATTTTTTTTTCTGGTGTTGTTAATTAATGCTAGAATTTTGGGGGGTGGGTTGGATATCGTTTTTCAAAATTTCTGAAGACAAGATGTTGTAGGAAAACATCTGTTTGGAAAGGCAGCCTACACATTCTTAAACAAATAAATAACGTGAAAGGAAATAGATGCAGTGAAAGAAAAATGTTTAGCCCTACAGGGATGGTAGCAGACCAGTCAATTCTACAAGAGATACTCAGTTAAGCAAAAATGTAACTTTCTTCTTCATCTTCTTCTAGGTTTATATCCCAACAGTTTTTGAGAAATACTTCGCCCCCTTTCACATCAGTGACAAGGAAGTCCACATCAGTCTTTGGGACACAGCAGGTAGGGCCTGTGTCAAAAAGGCAGCATTATTCTTTAGGCAGAAGCATTAGCATAATGAAATTCTGTCAAGTGAGATTGCATTATAAAGGGATGAACAAGCTTTTGCATGTATATAGACATCATCTTCCAGAAGGAAGTTAAACGCAACTGAGGCTTGCCAACAAATTTTGGTTACTGAATGAACACCAGGTACTCTGGCAGAATTATTTGCTTATAGAAGAAGCAACCTAAAACACAGAGATGTGGAGGCAATGAGGTGAATTCAGATTTGTTTAAAGAATTATCTTTCACTACGTAGCTTATTTTGATACAGAACAATATTCCAATGTAGTTGCTCTCTTTGGGGAGTATATAAAACATCATGCAATACCCTTTCCCCACATATCGACAGAAATATGCAGGCCATGAGCAAAAAGCTTTCTGCTCTGGTTGAGAATGTAGTATCACCTGATTTCTTTATGCATCACAACCTTTCACCAAGAGGGAAAAGTGTAAGTCTTGTGGGATGATGCACCATACGATGAGCCTTTTGCCTTCCCAAAGCTGGTGACCCTCAAGTGTGCTGGGCTTCACTTCCTACAGCCTGACTAGGGATTATGAGCGTCAGTCTAATACAGTGTTGTCCAAACTTGGCCATTTTAAAATAAGTGGACTTCAACTCCCAGAATTCCCCAGCCAGCATGGCTGGCTGGGGAATTCTGGGAGTTGAAGTCCACTCATCTTAAAGTGGCCAAGTTTGGACAACACTGGTCTAATACATCTGTTGAGACAGGCTGCTGTGAAGTCCTTCTGCATGGATAAACCAAACATTTTTGCTCTTACAACTAAGGTTGGCCAGTCAGGATATCCTATACCCTTCCCTTCTAAGCTCAATGTATAACAAGCACATAACTTTATACATTTTCCAGCTTGTTGAGGGAACATAGGGTTGGTTGCCACCACTGCCCCTGCTGACCAATCTACTGGCAGTACTGAGATCTCACTACAGGAACTGTATTTCGGAGGCAGACAAGTGTGCGCCTGTAACAAAAAGCCACTTTCAATACTTCCTTTCATTAAAATATACAAGCGTGAACAAAGCTGGAGAAGAAGCAAATGTTAAAACCTCCTACAGAGAATATTATTGGGCAGTCTCTCAAAGTGGCCATTTCTAGAGCCTTGAAATTTCTCTATAATATCAGTCCAATGATACTGGATATTATTTTTTAGAGATGAAAGAAATACTTATAACAGAGCTCTGTATTTCTTTCCTCTCTAGAAAAAAGATCTACCACTTCCTTATCTTGAATCCTGGGGATTGTGACAGAGAAAACAAGACTGTACAGTACATGTCAACAGTTGTAGTTTGTAGTTGTAGTTTCTCCTAGGTTAGGGGAGAAGAAATAAGAGAAAGAGTGGCTTTTCTGCCACTTTCTGAGTTTCTAAAAAAGAAATCTAAGTAAAGGCCTGGTAAAGTTAGAATGTCACTTACTGATTTTATCATAGCCAGTCAACTCAATCATAGACACATGTTCATATGTTCATCTGGATTGTAATGATTTGAAGATAACAGGATGCCAATTCATCTCCTGATTTTTTCCTCTCTTTCTCCCGATGCCCCTGCACACCCATAAAGCATATTAGGAATGCTAAGGCTAAGCATACACATTCTTTACAGGTCCCTAAAAATCACACTGTGATCAACAAGTATATAAAATCACAATCCTTTACTCACTTAACCAAAAGCAAGCTCCACTGAATGGATTGAGAAGACAATGTGTATTAGATTGTACTATAAACTACTTATGGATTATATAGGTGGAAGATACATCACCTTATATATTAATATGGCTACTTGTGGCTATTATGGACAGTGAAATGTGCTAAGGGACTGGGAGGAAGCCCTTGAATAAACACTTGGGTATATATTGCAAACAACATTTGTGTATAAAATATGCAGATATATGTCACTTTATTCTATACAGGACAGGAAGATTATGACAGGCTCCGCCCTCTGTCCTATAATGGGGCTCATGCAATTATCATGTGCTTTGATGTCACCAATCCCACCAGCTTCAACAACATTCTCACAAAGGTAAGAAGACCACCAGTGCCTCAACATAATCTGTGAGCTCAGTGGAAACTGCTTGCTCTGGCATCCATTGAAAAGGTGTGATATCTTACAGTAAATCAAATAGTCAGATTGGTACACCAAAATAACTTGCAGTTCTTCCAAGGACTGCAACTTTTGGGTTTGCTTCCTTTTCTTCTATTTCACTCCACCTTGCCGTGCATAATTATTTTTTTCTAATCCATCATCTGCTTGTATTACATGCCCAAAGTATGTGAGCTTCTGGTTGTTGAACAGTGGAACAGATAGCCTTTATTTGGTCCAGAATTCAGACTGATTAGTTATTCTTAGCAACCATCTCCAAATCCAGAATTTGAAAGTGTCAATTTTTTTTCTCTTGTTCTTTCTCCGTATCCAGCTTTCACAGCTGTAGGACGATTGATGAAAACAAATTCCTTGAGTCAGAACTGTTTCATTCTAGGTGTGCATCTTTTATAGAAGGCTCTGGTTGCTAGTTTTCAGAGAAAAAGAAAGCAGATCCTATATGCCTGAAATCTGTCCACACTTGATGTTTCTTTCACCATGTCTATCCCTCATTTTAGTGGTATCCTGAAGCAAACCATTTCTGCAAAGGGATTCCAATTTTGCTTGTTGGCTGCAAAACAGACCTGAGGAAGGACAAAGTTCTACTAAGGAAGTTACATCAAGACCAACTGGAACCCATCACATACCAGAAGGTAGTACAGAGAGCCAGTGTTCTGTATAGTCATGCTGCGCTATCCAACCACAATCTACATTAACTAAAATGAATTGCACATATATACTTTACCTCTGAGAAACGTAACATATGAGGTGACTTTTTGCATACATTCATTCCTACCAATGCCTACAAAAGGTGCTAATAATAGTAGGGCTAAACAATATTTCAGAAATAACACAAAAAATATGCTTTGGAATGTATGAAAGTACAAAATAGCACATGTCTGCAATTCCTTAAAGCTGCCACTTCTTTTCCCATGGCTGCATGGCTGCCATCTGCAGCTGCCACATGATCCCAGGAAAAGATGCAGCTACTTTAAAGAATTGTAGATATATACTACATTTATGCCCTTGCATGCACTGCAGCACCTTTTTGGAACCAAACCCAAAGCACTACCTGCCCTAATATAGTGGTGCCTCTAGTTACGAACTTAATCCGTTCCATGACTCTGGTTGCAACTCAAG